GTTTCTACTCTTTACTGCTTCCTTACCTCCTGCGGTGAATCACAGGTCGTTCTTTCAGGTTTTCACAGCTGTGACAAGATGGGTCAGATTTGACCAGGCAAATCGACAAAAATTTCTTCCAAAGGCAGGTCTAAAGTCCGTGTCATTATTTGGAGAGTGCTTCATTCAGTGATTTTGCAGCTGTTGGAGCATGTGCGACTTGCTCTTTGTCATCCGAAATTCCTTGTTGAAACAGTGAGTGAGGACCCTTTAGTAATGACTGATCCCACATGCCGACATCTCCTCGACGAAGCAAAAGTTGGTCACGCTTTTTTTCCAACACACCTGCTGCTATGATTTTGAGTCCCACTGCAGAATTACCAGCTTATGCGACTGTCTACGCAGGAACGATTGGAAATGCAAGAAACGCGCACTAAACCTCGGAAATCGCTCAAAACTAGCGAAGAATTATACGTTAGTAGTATTATACACTATACGTTGAGTCTCCCTTGTTGATACATTAAGGACGCGTTGATGATCGCTCATATCTTCTCAAGGGGGCAAAGGGTGGTCGAATTTCTCAGTCGACTACTTTAATCTAGTATGCTTTGCAGGATCAACAGCTTCCAGAACTTTCGCACAAACAATCGAAGGTGCAGGGAACACAGAGTGAATCAAGGAACTCATTCGAAATTGGCGAGAAGTTATACGTTGGTATGGCAAGTTGTTGTCTTCCACACATTTCCGATGGCTATTAACTGTCAACTGGAGCAGCAAAAGTCGTATTAACTGAAGCAGGCACGAAACTCCTTAACGCGCGATTGTACTGTTTAGGGGTGGTCTATAAAATCATCTGTACTAGCTGTGCGGACCGATTCGGCGAGCACCCCATTAGCGTGAAGGTGACAGAGCACCTGGAGGGCAACAACACGTCACGCTTGTCAATTGCCTTAGATGAATTTGGATTGGATTTTGAATTTGGGTCCATGTCACCGATAAAAAGACGAACCGAAGGGAAGAGTGCTCCATCATTACGCGGTATTTGCGACCCTATAGGCTGGCCTTCCACGAGGTACCCTGAACGAGAGGAACCGTCCAACTCGGTTCAATAGCCAGCTCCCTATTGGTCTCGAGTATTGGAATGGACTGCGGTAAGTTGGTTCCTTTCCGATGACTGATGACTGATGGATGACCTGGGCTCGTAGGCTATACTTCTACCTTGAAGAGAGGAGTCCCCTCCCCGTATGCTACACTTCCCCGAATGTCCTGGGGGAGAGCTACGCCCACCAAATCAGTGCGAGAGCTCCCTTGACAATAAGTGTTGGGGAAGACACACCCTGGTACACTTTTTTTAGTTTCTTTCGTCTCTGTTTTGAACTTTCTTTTTTTATGTTACAGAAACATACGTGACCATTCTTCAGTTTTTCTTTCTCGTCCTACTCCGTTCTACCCCGTTTTTTTCTGGGGGGGGGTGTTACGGGAGATATCCTCGATCCTCGGGCATTTCGGTACTGCCTAACTGCACTGAAACGCTTCCAAGAGAGTTTACTTGTTTTTATTTTCGAATTTGCTCTCCCTTCCAGTAAATTCGAACGTGTTCTTTTGTTCCATATTTTTACTGCTTTCAATTGACCGTTTCTTCCATAACGCATGTGTGATTGAATGTTCGGGCGTTACAGATTAATAATTCGTCCCTCAATTCAAATTATGGCGGGCGAACTTATTATGGCATACGCTCTACGACTTGAAGTTTTTGTAAACAGTGTCATAGTTTCATTCGATAGGGTGATCAGCCATAGTGCAGTACATGCAGGTGAAGTCGCGACTCACCACTTTTCTCCTATGAAGGAGTCCTCGAATCCGTGGTATCGAATTCTTCCACTCTGCAGCTTCCATTTTTTCAACGTCCATCGCCTATCTATATGATTTATTATGCCTAACACTCTACCGCGCGGCGGTCTTCGAAAGCATTTTGACAGTCTATGGTAACTCATGCGTCTCACTTTTAAGAGACTTGTAAGCAGTAAAAAAACTTTGAAAGTTTCACTCGGAGAATGAATGTAGCCAACAATATTTCACAGCTTCACAGAGTTGATTCTCCCCCATAGGGAGCTTAGCTCGGTGGGAACTATTAGGTCATCCCATTCAAAAGTGCCGTCGGTTTTTTTCGAATAACATAAAGAGGAAATAGATAAAAAATAATATTTTGGCTTCAAGTTAAGTAAATCCCTCCTTCACCAATGACCCGCTCCCCGAAAGCCTTTGGACCTCTGGTACCTTCGATTTTTCAACAAGTGCGAGTAAATTGCTGTTGATGCCAATTTCGGCGAATGACAAAACATTGTAGCGTTTGCCGTCGGAGAGTACTCTCGACTGACGAGAACAATTGGAATCGCTCGGCTTTATGTCGGGCGAATGGGGCGATTGAACCCAGGTCTCAGTATTGTTTGTGTCCCAGCACTGCCCTACAATACAGTTACTCGGGGTCTATGACGAGCAACGGTGGCCTTCTTGTAGTTGTGTGGTATCATCCATTTGTCGATCTGATTGCCGAGGATCAGGCAATATACACCGACAGCTACGATTTTATTCTCTGTATAGAGCCGCTTGAAAGCCACAGTGTGGGAATCCTTCGCTATGATGATCATCCACTTCCCACGTAACTCCTCATGGTAGAACTCGGGCGGCTTCTCATCTGCATTCATACAAAATTGACGATTGTGAGTTTCGGCTCGAGGTCCAAGACCACCCATATTTCATCTAGGGCCGGGGTGCGTTTTCACAGTCGTGAATGACATCTCATGCTGAGAACATTACTGCTAGAGGCATAGAATCGGTACTGCGTTCGTGCTTCTACAAGAAAATTAGGTACCCATGCGCACACCCTCTTGACCATCCTCAGTTTATCGGACATAACTCGGGCAGCAGTTGCAGCTGGGATGTCAGACTCGCGGGGAAGCTCGACAAAGGTCCAGGCTCTGTGATCAGACATTCAGCGCTTGACTTCATCCACCCTTTTTTCTTGTGCAGGATGAACATTATGGGACCATCCACGACAACAATTTTTTCCTTTCTTCCTTCTTCGGGCTCCTGAACCAAACCTTCCACCTTGTATTTCGAGAACACCATTACACACAACTACTGGTCCGGCGCCGGTCGAATTTGAGCAGCGCACTTCCCTCTTATGACGTCTGATTTGAAAATCGGCGCTGATTTTCACCACTCGGGCTTCTTTTCAATTTCTCGAGAACTTCCTTCTGTGGGTAGGTTCGCCAAATTTCACAGATACAGCTAAAGGTACTAGCCTCCAAATGGTATAGTAGCCCGCTTCCCTATCCCCTTTGCTTTTCTGCCATTCCTCTATATGTCACGGCACTTTTGAATGGGATGACCTAATAGCAATCTGCCCTCACCGAGCCAAAATACGTTAAAGGAGCAGTTATATCAGAACAGCGTTCAAATCTATCCCAAGAAGGTAAAGATCGTTCAAAAGTCCAATCTTATCGTACTCATTTTGACGGAATGAGATACCTCCTATTGTTCTTGAGTGACGCTTGACGCTCTCCGCCAGAAACCCTACCACCGCTCACCCCCTTACCTCTGAACATCTTAGAGTACCGCCGATGGCAAAAGGTTGCAAAAGGTGTCCCTCCCTTCAGTGCATGCAAGCAGCGTTTGTTCGAGCCGGTAGTACTCCGAGCTAGCATACGTGGCCAAATTGCAGCCAGAGTGCTGAAAGTACATACTTACGCAAATCCATTAACGGGAATGTCTATTGGTGCTGATTATACTTCGGAGCTAAGAAACTCGACAGATTCAGCCACCCTTCCTTCTGGAGATTTTTTACATCTGGGTTATTCAAGATTAGAAAGTGCTTTGTTGAATGCTATTTGCAGAGGATTCAAAACAAATATCAATGTGGTCACCCTCATGATCTTGACCATTGCTCAATTCAGCCTAAAAATCCTACTATATATAATCCGCTAAGTATGTCTGTGTGTGTGTCCGTGTGTCTGTCTGTCACGAAATTCATAGCGCCGGTCCCAGTAGCAGTGAGACATTGGTTCCAAGAAGTGATGTAGGGGGTGTGACGGGAACACTATTGGTGGGTGACAGGAAGTGATATCAGTTGATAAGATCCGATAAGAGGCGTTAGAAGGGAAGGTCACCATATTCATAACGCGGGTGACAGCATCAGCTAGCTCTTGATTCCAAGATATGATGTAGAGTACGGGCCAAGAACATTATTTTTGGGTGACAAGAACTGCGAGCTGCTGATAAGATTCGATAAGGGGCTTCAGAAGGGGAAGGTCACCATATTCAACGCTTTAATGCCGAGTATTAGAGGCTCAGTGTGTGAAGACTTTCCTTCGATATGTTCGATGTAGATAGAGCGTTGTTAAATGCGTGAAATAGTGTCGAGCGGGAGGGGGGGGGGTATATAGTGCGGCTGAAACGGGAAAATCGAGAAATTCATATCAATCAAAATTTTCGGAAATCTGCCTGTTATATGATGTGCAACGATGTGTTAGGTGGTGAAGTTCGCAATTGAAGCAAAATAAGGAAGGAACCCAACAACTGGGAGTGGGGACGTTTCCATCGGTGGTGACATTCGAGCTCTCCGTGTGACACGTACTTTGACATGTACAAGGCAATGTGAAGTTCTCCTTTTCAGTGCCACCCATGACTCTGCAGTTATGCCTCTTTCGGGTGTTAAGGACTCATCCGGACTAATTCATCTTTACCCATTCTGATGTCGCAACTGCCATCCTTGAAGATATGGCTCAGCCTTCCCACGGTTTCATTGGAAAAAATAACCGCCACCGTTTGGCACATTTAGCGCATTCTACCACGCCCAAGGGAAGAGTGCCTGGCGAAGCCGGGCCGTGAAACAGAAGGAGGAGCACCCGGCGGCAGCCGGGTGATCCGACTGGTAGCTTTATAATAGCAGTAAAAAACATTGCAGTTGATCATTATCAGTCCTAGCATAAGATCTTCCAAAGTACCAAAAAGGATTTATGAATTCCAAAGGCTGAATGTAAAGACGACCCCTCCCCGAATTTGTGCCAGCCAACTCTGCGTCTCTAAATTTTTGAAGGGATCCCCTCGAGTGTAGCATACGGCCTCTCTGGGGGACGGAGGGGTCGAACTTCAATACAAGTTGGTAGGGTTGTCACAATTGCTTCAATCTTTTCAGGCTGTGAAGAAGGCAGTTCCGCCGAATACTACCACTATGCCAAGATTCATCGAGACCCGTACTTGGCGTCTTCTGCAGTTTCCACCTCGCCAGCAAGTGTGCTCCAGCACTACTCTGCGCTGACATCTCAACGCGGTCACAAGCGCTTGCAAATCATATATAGTCCTTCTCATCGGAACAAACAGTCAGAGGCAGAAGCGGAAGGGGAGAGTCGTGCTGCCTGCAATCCACCCTAAGCCAACTAATAACGGGATGTCCTTACTTTGTAGACAAGAACGCCCTTCAACGCTTCAATACCCAAATTTCCATGTCTTCTCTTCACCTGTATCACCTGTACTCCCGTTGATCATCGAGTTCCTCGAGCGGGCGCCAGTAACGTCTCCATTCGTCCCTGCAACGTGCAAGAGTTGCCCAATGGACTCTCTCGAGGGACACGATGAACTTCATACCATTCGTTCAGAGCTTTCACGAAGAAGTCTGACCATCGCGTAGGCGGTCGTCCAGGTGTTCGCTTGACATCTTGGAATCCAGTCGGTGATCGCTCTGGTCCAGCGGTCGTCCTCGAAACGCATGACGTGCCCGGCCCACCTGATCTTCGAAACCTTGGCAAATGCGGCGGCGTCTCTGATCCTTCGATCGTCGGCGGAGTGCGGAGCTCCGGATTCCCTCTCTCACTTGCGTGTAGCGGGAAACTCCGAGCATCGCCCTTTCGATGGCGCGTTGAATAACGCCAACCGCATGCTCATCCTGCTTTCGTATAGCTCATATAGCTCATTTCTCTGAGGCATTAGTCAAAGTAAGGAAGGACCGCGGAATCGAAGAGGTGGGCACGGAGCTTGGTGTTCTTCGTCTTCTTCGCTACTCCCTCGATGTTCTTGAAGGCTCCCAAGCCGCTCGCTTCCTCCTGCTCAGCTCTGGTGCTAAGTCGTTCATCATATTGATTTCACGACCTAGGTACACATAGCTAGAGCATTCAGAGATGGTCGTTCCGTTGAGCGTGAATGGGGCATCAGAACCAATCCGTTTCTCATGAACATCGTCTTCGTTAGATTCAGCCGTAGACCGATTTTTCCACACGCGCAGTCGAATTCAGCCAGCATTCGTTCCGCTTGCTCGATGTTTGGTGTTATCAAAACGATGTCGTCAGCAAAGCGGAGATGGTGTAGTTGCCGACCGTCGATCTTCACTCCCATGTCTTCCCATTCCAGTTGACGCATGACGTTCTCGAGAGAGGCGCTGAAGAGCTTGGGCGAGATGGTGTCGCCCTGTCGAACCCCTCATAAGGCATTCTTCCATCTGATCAACGCTTCGCTTCAAACCTCCCAGGTACATTGTGTAGAGGAAGATCGAGGCAGCACATTCGGCATCTAGTGGTTTTACGAGCCGCAGCTATCTCAAGCTGGGTTCACATAGACATCTACAACTCCTTTTACAGAACTGAAGGCTCCCGCTCCAAAGCACAGCTTCGTGGAAGATTGTCCTTCAGGTGGGGCACCTTCTTTGTGCAGCTTCTTTATTTTAGCCTGGGAGCTTTCATACCCGAACCGGGGCTGCAGGAGAAAGAGCATGAGGGAAGTGTTCGAGGATTGGCGCTGACAGTATAGGACGAGATTTTTGCCCATATGCAAATAGAAGGAGGCAAGTGAATGGTGCCAAAGGGGGTGCATAACCTTGGGTACCACGGCTTGGTTGCCCATCACCCGTTTTCAAGTTATATACAAGTCATTTAAATTTGAAAAATATTACAGAACTTTCACGCTAATGTAATGCTTGCTTACAACAGTAGCAGGGGAGCTCTCCATGAGAAAATGACAGAAAGACGAAGTTAAACTGACAAAAACCTGAAAAAAACATTTTGTTCTGCACGGCATAGGACGAGCACGTTCGGACGAGTTTCCCGCTGGCATCGTGCCGTCAACCGCTTCACCAGCTACGGCTGCGCTCACGTAGTCGTCAAAGCAACGCTTCATATCATATCAGTTGTACATTGGAAAAATGAAGCGATGAGAGTACCATCGTCAATGTGAACTGTTCCTCCCCCCCCTCCCATCTGTGGGTGGACGGTTGTTTTGGGCGTCTTCGTCGACAGGTACCTTAGTTGGGCGATTCATGCCCTTGGTTGGAGAAGACACCGCATAGCGCTTGATCAGGGGCACAATATTCTTTCATGCTAAGCGGATCGATCTCGTACTACTTGCTGATTTATCGTGCCACTTGCTTCCAAGTTCCGAGCCTTCTACTAAAAATGGGAACGTGACCCTCGCAGCAAAGTGACTTGGACATTACCTAGGGCACGATAAGAGGATTCCGAGCAAGGCCTCCTTTGACCTGCCCGTTTTTTTTGATGCTAAGTTCTTTCCAACAGCCCAAGATCTCATGAAAACTTCTAATTTGTGCACAACAGCGCATGACAGCACGCACTACGGCAGGTCATGAGGATTGGAAAATGCCACGGGCAGTACGAATCCCTTTCGAAACAGGGTACAGGTTTGGCACCGTATGAATTTTGCGCGCTGAAACAGGCTGTCCCGAAGATGGGCGAAAGAAATAACTACAAAGGCAATTTTGGCTATTTTCCTTCACGTCCTGGTTTCCCCTTTTCATACATTCCTGCTTGCACCCCTTCTTAACTTCACTGATCTGTCACAGGGAGAATGGCACGGAGATTCTTCACATAGGGAAGGTTCTTGACAGGCAAACAGACGGACGTAAGGCACATATGCACAGTCTGATGTACACACGGTTACATAAGACTGTGGATACTTGTTATGTATGTATATGTCGTACTTACGTCGAATAAACACTACTGCTTTCGACAGTACCTGAGGGGATATTAGCTATCCAACCAACAGAATATGATAGGAAGAAGTTCTGACTATGGTCCGACCGTACCTATCGTTTTTTCCTGCGTGAATGCCAAGCAAAGGTACTTATTTATAACCACTACTATATTTTAGTGGGAGGAGAAAACGAAAGTATCCCCAGTCCCACTGTGGAACGTCTGGACCCTGCAGAAGCAGACGCTGCATGGGAGTATGTCGCTCCTATGAGTACTCCAAGGTACTACGTCATTATAAAATAACCAGCTTCAAAATTATGCTGTACGCTCACCTGTTGGAAAGATCATTGCCGAAGCCCGTAACTGTAGAAATGTGCTACATTCGTCACCTGAAAGCGCATGGAAATGATGGTTGCCAGTGGCGTTAGCTCGATGTCGTCTCAGACTCCACCCGCGACTCACAGACATTTCGGTAGATGCCGAGCTTCCGCTAAGATTCATGAACAACGAGCTGCCTGTCGCGGCCATATGAAAAGACAACCAAACGTGAGGAGTCAAGGACAAGTAGCGCGCTTCGCTATATTGAGCGGAACAATATATGGTTTCAATCAGGGCACATATTCGGTTGGGGGTTTTGGTCGAGTCCGTACTAGCTCCCTTTCAAGGGTGGCTCGATACGACCACTCCCCCTCCTTAGTTCCCTTCCAACTTGCTCTTACCACTTTTTTTCTAGAATTTTCCGAGAATAGTCCTACTTTTATACTTTTACCAAAGAATTCTGCTATCGAGTGGGAGGGGGGGGGGGCGGTGGGGACATGAGGGGAGGGGCGTGCAGTACACATGGAACAGAAAAACCAACGAAAAGTCAGCAACCTCTCTAAAAATGTCAACAGGGGAATACGACCCCTCTCCTCTCCCAGCGACCAAATTCCCCCCCCCCCCCCTACAACGTCCTTGAAACGAGAGAAATCAATCAGGAGAAATTTTTCTCAGCCCAAATATTGCCCGCCTCCTCTCCCAGTGGACCAAACACCCCCCTCTGTTGGGGGATCTCCAACAACGACGAATTGTACACTTCTACACTTGCGGACCATTCATCTCGCCCATGACAAGCATCAGAACTTCTGCAGAAGAGCGTACAGCGTACCTCTCAAAAACTGCTTCATTTACAGAGAAGATGTTCGTGTCGCAGTGCTCAACAACCTGCTATATGCTGTTGGTGGCTATAGTAAAGATAGAGGTGGCTTCTTAAGAAGTGTCGAGAGGTTTGTATTATTTACACCATTATCCTGGGATATAATGCGCATCTACTTGCATGGTCGCGACAACGCGCACAAATCCTTTCTGGATACTTTTTTAATTATCTAGGACAGAATTCTGAAGGAAGATCGCAATTTCCTAGTATTCTCTGTTAAACAGAGCTGAATTAACCCAGCTTCCGCCATTGTCCAGTTCTTTTCGGGGTACTGCACGCATTCTACATCCATTCATAGGCGGTTTACTGCGATATGACCTATAAAATGACCCATGGGACAAGTCGATGTACAGGTCGATGTTGTTGTCCTCTCAAACGAAATCGCTACCCAAAGGTTGATCGGCCTGGGCGGGAGCCTGTTTGGCCTTTGACCGTGTACGTGACAATCGGTCATTTGCCACTGCACCACCTACGCGAAATGCGGATATACCCCGGACAACAGAGTCACTTTTGAATTGCGGTTCTACGATTTGAAATGCAGAGTTAAGAGTAATTGCTATTAAAATCGTGTTCAGAAGAAAATGTACGAGTGTTGGAAATTTTAGATTCGATCCTGTAAAGAATCAATGGTCGAGTGTCGCGCAGATGCCCACGCCTCGGTATTTGCACGGTGTGGCTGCGCTTAATGGCTTCCTGTATGCTGTAGGCGGCTTGAATTACGGCAAAACTCTGGACACAGTCCAACGGTGAGGAGGTTAAGTTTTCTTTCTTCTAGAGAGTCGAGCCAACTGGAACCCCCTTCGGAAGTGAACCTACATTCTTTGACCATTCTTGCTCGTCTCTTGATCCTCTCCTGTACGATCAGAGCAAAGCAGGATAGATTGATGAGGGGCTTCTAGGCTGCTTGCTTTACTGTGTAGAAATTTATTGCTTTAGCTATGATGCTGAACGAAACAAATGGACCAGTGTGGCATCCATGCGAACACCTCGGTATGGGGTATTCGTATCCGTACTTGATGGCTGTTTATACGCTATCGGAGGGCGTAATGATCGTGAAGATTTGAAGACAGTGGAAAGGTACACATTTGTGAACTTCAAATGTTTGACGACCCAAAAGTTCTTCGCATGAGTGCACAACACGCGTTGTGTAGTTTCGGATAAATACGGGCCTCTTCCTGAATTTTCTCCTTTTGTACGTACCCACGATCCCCCAGTTCAACTACGTGTTTTCCCCAAACATTTTTCATCGCATATGGTAGAGGGGAGGGAGTAGATTCTTCACAAAATGGACACAATCCATCACATTGAACGGTATTCGTAGGATGGTTTTGCGGCGCTAACAGCTAGCGTGATATGTGGATCATATAGGGCATTGAAACAGAAAAAAAACTCAACAAGCGGAAAATTTATGTCACAACTCGGAGTCACTCTCTTGACCCCTCTCCCCATCAACTGAAGTACCCTCCTCCCCTATGGTATTTTTCACAACCGTTTCTGTGACCTGCTTTGGATCCACACTCGTCAAGCGATATACTGAGTAACTATGCAAATGTAGGAAAAACAATTACAAAAGATAGATTTAGCGTTTCAGGTTAGATCCTCGAGTTGGCAGATGGGAAGACGTTTGTCCAATGTTACAAGGTCGGTATCGTTTTGGAACGGCTGTATTCGATGGCCATTTATATGTAGCAGGAGGAGAGAGATCGGAGGAGTCAGTTCAGAGCTACAGCCCTCTCACCAACAAATGGATTGAGCTGCCTGCTATGAAGATGAACAGTAGGACTGTGAGTGTGTGCATTCTGTTTACAGCAGTACACAATGATAATGAGCTGTTGGATAGACTCGTAGCTTTTGCTCCATTTCACAATGTTTCCTGCACTGAATAGCAAATTAAGAAAATCGCTTGAAACATCTCTTCCTGCTCCACAAATTTGTTATTCCCAACCTTCTGTAATTCAATTTTTCACGTTTCAGGGCTAAGAAAGTCAAGTTCAAGAGAAGAAAAAAAAACAGCAGTCCAACCGTAACGTTTTCATGGAGATCAGAGAACATCCGAAGAAGCCCGAGACATCCTGCGTAGTATATGAAGGGGTTATTTCAGCTAAACTTGAACTAAGCTCCTCCCATGTTAATGGGCGCATCGGGCTATAAATTCTCATCGTTCATGGTCTCTCGCGATTTTTTCGCCTTCGTCCTCAAAAACACTCATGGTTTCCCTTTCCCTCACTTACTTTAGCGCACGCACCCGCCCACAGTGGGCGAGTCTCAGCGCACCACAGACACGCTGCTCAGCACCTCGTCAGACGTCCCTCTTCCCCAACGTCTTTTTTTTCCGATCCATAATCTCTCAGGACAGTTATAGGATTTTGTGGCAGGCACCACCCATTTAAGCCCGCCAACAGCGTCCGTGTCTCCCATTTCGTATGTAAACCCCTTGCTGGCTTTGGTCCTTTTTTCCCCCGTCTTTGACCCACTCTGGAAGTGAATCATAGACTTTGGCTGCTACACGGCTCACTTTCCGTGCATGATCCGCCCAATACGGGTGTGGCTTATTATTTAAAATGACGGTATTGCGAGTATGCCAGCTCACAAAACGTGCGGTATTACCATGTCGGTTGCCGGCTTCCGTGCGATCAGGGGTCGGCTGCTCTTCTTCGAGAACTATCGAAGGTTGTTCTCGCGACTAAGTGTCCCATAAAATGTCTCCATGCGTTTCGCATCTAAGTCTGCGCTCTCATTGACTGTACCACTTGCGTCCCTGGAAAGGGGAGACGCGCTGACCTCTGGGGTGGGATAGGGGCTTTGTTCTTTTTAGTCTGCAAGACAACGGCATACACGTGAATCACGTGTATGCATTCCGTTGTCTGCAGCGTCGTAGCACGATTTCATAAGCTTGTCGAAGAAAATCTCGACTTTCCAACTCTTCTGAGAGCTCACAAGTTGTTCTGCTCTTCCCAGATACCTTTGCTGAAAGCAAGCAAGTACCAGCTCACTTGTCAGCTGCTGGCTCATGACTGAACACCCACTATCCGTATTACTTGATCGCGGGATCAGCATGAACCAACTCTTTTCTCGCGTTTTTCTTCATGGCCCAGAAAACAAGCCATTGATTCCACATTTAATGAGAACAAAGGGGGGGGGGCTTCTCTAGTGTCTCGAAGTTTATGGTGTTGATTACGATCACTTTAGGTACTGTTATATTCAAAAGTAACCTAAAAATGTTTGCGAACTTATCCGCCAGCCTAATACAAACGTTAGGATGTAGCAGGGATTTCCATTGTAGGAACGACTAGCTGTCGTCAACGGGAAGTTTTATGCTCTTGCTGGATTTGGTTGTGAGACAGTCCATGTTTTCGATTCTGAGATGAACGAATGGAAACTTCACAGCTATTTGAACGAAGAGTAAGTTGTAAATCCTTATCAAGTTTTACTTATTCCGAATTTCAGGAGCATTATTGCCCTGCTAAAATGGTAATACCATTTTTCATAAAAATGTAAGCATTTTCAGACGATGTGGAGCAGATGTGGCTGTTCTTCAGGTGCCGTAATTGTTCCAGCAGCGTAATCCAAGGACTGTAACGTCTTTCTCACTCTTCCTTACTGAACTACATAGGATACAGTTTGCCGTTCTTAAGATCAAGAAATGGCGGTCCCCAGATTTTTCATGCTGAGTACAGGGGGGGGGGGGCAAGAAAAAAGTTACTTTCCTTCCTTAACTTTCAGGACGCTATTAGGTTGTCCGGAAAGTTCTGCACGTTTCGAGTGTTTCACTTTAAACGATCATAACTTTCTTAACACTCATCGGATTTAATCCAAATAAGCACCATTCGAATCAGCACACTTTTGCCAATGTGACAGCAGTCGAGAAATTAAAGAAAAAACTGGGTGGTCGAGAGTTCACGAAATCCACGAAGGCTTTTTTGCCTGGTCCTGATTGATGAAGTATTTTCCAGCAAGGAGTTCTGAAAATGTTTGAAAAGGTGATAGTCGGTTGGTGAAAGGTCTGAGAATATGGCGGTTGAGGTAGAACTTCAACCCCCAATTCGTTCAATTTATGGATAGTGATTTGTGAAACGTGTGGGCGGGCGTTGTCATGCAAAAGGAATCGGACCCTTTCTTTTGATAAGTGTTGGCTGCAGCTGACAAAATTTTCGGTACAATTCGTCGATTTCTTCACAGTAGGGTTCTGCTGTGATGGTTTGGCCTGGTGATAAAAGTTATAGTGGATCACACCAGCCGATGACCACCAAGCCGTGACCAGAATCTTTTTTCGTGAGGGTTCGGCTTTGAAAATTACCTCGGTGGTTCGTCGAAATCCAACCACTGTCCGGTCTCCTGTTATCATACATGACCCATTTTTCATCACAGGTGACAATTCGGCCCAAAAACAGGTCGTTTCTGCTGCGCAAAAGCAATGCAGAAGGAACCTCGAGACGTGCCGATTCCTGCCGGTCACTCCGATTGTGGGGCACCCAATTGTCGAGTTTTTTCACCTTCCCAATGCGTTTCAAACAATCTGCAACACTGGATTTGCCAACGCCTAGCTTTTCTGCAATCTCTCGAACTGTTTGGGATGGGTCAGCCTCCAAAATCCCTTCAAAATCCTCGTCAGTATTGCTTTAGGTCGACCGCTATGAGGTTCATCTTCAAGGCTGAAATCTCCAGAACGAAATTTGTTGACCCATTGCCGCACAGTGCTTTCTCTAGCACTATTGGGCCCCCACACCTGGTTAATTTGTTGAGCTGTTTCGATTGCCGAATCTGCCTTGCCAATTCTGGGAGTCAGTACAGAAAAAAAATGCATCCGGACGCTGCTATTGTGCCACATGCTTCACCCCCAGACAACACCTTCGAGTGTAGAAAGGCAGTGGGTTCAGTCAGCGAACATGGGTGAAACGCACGCGTATCCAATCAGAATAGCGCAAAGTATCCTCTTCAGGACGATCACTAACTGCAGACGCCAAGAGTGGAGAGTGAAGTTTAATCCAGCAATGAATGCTGCAAAACGCAAACACAAACGTGCAGAACGTTACCGACAACCTTACTTGATAAAGTGTATGACGGCCTAAATGCCATAGGATAAAGGCGGTCGCATAGCATAAGAAGCGGGTGCTTGTGCAGCAAATGAAACCTGGACGTTTGTAATAACGTTTATTTTGGGGCGTTGTGCTGGCTCATGAGATACGCAATAGATAGCCTACAACCTACCTGTTATTCTGTACTGTTTTCTATACATCTTTCTGATTCGCTGTAATCACCTGCTCCGGCCGAAATTCGGTTAAAATCGCTATTTTTATATGAATTGTTATCAAGGGGCGGGCGTTCTAGAGTTGGAGGGGCGGAGCTTCTTCTAAACTTCTCCGATTTTTATTTATCCATCCATCAAGTTAGAGGGGTGACTGCATTCAATTTCAATTTCATTCCAATTCATTTTTCACCGGTAAATTAAACCGCTCTTATCTATGGGATTTTAGGGTATTAAATTCTGATCGGACATTTCTACCACCATATTAAAGAGCATATTAAATACTATCATGATACTCCGCCACAGCCTTCTGGAGGAGCGCCATCGAGAGATTCTGCCACGCGACCGTGAGTGGGTGCCTGAGTTCAGCGAGATAGTCGATTTCTCCGCCACCGTAGACCACCCTATTGAACTCCGCCCGAACCAGGTAATTGAGGGGGTTTAGGTCAGGTGACCTGCTTAGATATTCCACCTTTTCCAGGTACTCAACGCCCTTCCATTCCAAGTAGGCAAGAGTTTTTCCAACGCCCTTTGATTCCATGTGGTGTCACCCAATCCTGTAGCAGTACAAAGTTTCCAAGAAGGTACAGGCGATGACATGAAGGCAGGATCTTCTCGAGTTGGTCGATGTAACCGTCAGCGCTCACCTTCAGTCCGGGGTCCACGAAGAAAATATTGGTCTTTCCATTCCAGGTACGTCCGGTCCATACCATCAACCCGCGCCTTGGCGACTGCGGTGAAGATGATGTCCTAGACCGTAGCGACGTTGTCGGAGCTGCTCGATGTTGGAGGTCTTCCAGATCAAGAGTACTGGTCTCCAGGTAGCTATCCATGGGTGACTCCATACAAGAAGTTTCGCAGCTGTTTGGAGGTGACGTGAATTCCAAAGGTCTTCTCCAGTCAGGCTGCGACTGGAGATGACTACATTTTGGTGTACATGAAGGTGATGGGCGAGAGCCAGCTCCTGCTTATAGAGGACATCGTATCTTCCGCCCTGGTACTCATATCCACTTCCTCTGTCTGGGCTGCGAAAACTTCGCTGATATGTGACTCGGCCGAAGTGACTTTTTTTTGCCCCCCCCCCTGTGTATTTTCCTTGCATGGTTATTTTGCGATTTATCGTTCCCACTGCTATCCTCTATTGATTCCCGTCTTTTTTTGCGAAAGTTGGAGTTGACAATAAAACTTCTGACCTTTCAGTCTCATTTCTTCTTGACTCCAGGTTCCTTTGCTCCTTCTCTCCTACACTAAATAAACAAGAGAAAATGCACGGTTAAAGCGGTCTCACAATTAGGGTTTGTTACAGTACAGTGTCAGAACTCCGTACTTCCACAAAGTTTCTTTAGTTGCTTTCGGCCCCACGTTCCTTTGCTCCTTCTTCAACTGTGTAATCTGAATGGCGAATTCCTAGCAACACAAAGTTTCTAGGGATCTTCACCAGCTGCATCACCATTCCGTACCCCCTCAAAGCGATGCCAGCGCAGTTCCGAGAGGAGGAAGGTTGGATCAAGGCAGCTCCACGTCCATTTCCTCTCTGCGGAACCGGTGCAACGACTATCGTCGTCTGCACTCCGCCAGAACTAATCCGTGGCAAGTAAAGGGATGCTGGAAGGGCGCCGCCTCCTTTTAACAAACTACGTTCAAGCCCAGAGATCTTCCAAAGCTACAATTTCAGAAAAATACCCAGTTCCTCATCAATTTACTCACATGCAGAAATAACCGGGTCCCTAACACTGGCACTGAGGTCAATACTTAGTTCTTAGTTGCGGCAACACGCAGAACTACTACGGGGCGCAGTTTGGCGATGTGGAGGGGGCATTTTGCACTTTTGCTACTTCCCATCGACGTGTCGACCTATCTAGACAGCCTCTTCTCGAGTTGACAGGTTTAACATGATGGCTTGACGACCTTGCTCCAGCTTCACAAGAGTTCACAGGTTTCGCCAGAGTGAGACTGAACCGGAAATAAGGAAGCAGGTAGTACAAAATGCCCTCCTCCCACCGTCGCCAAGTCGCCCTAGTAGAGTTTTACCTGCTGCTCTGAAACTGTGCTGAGCCACTACGTTGAATCAGGCAGGCCCACGGTGCGAATATCACGCACGCAACTCTGCTGCAGCCTCTTTCACCGCTCTCGCCATAAACTGGAACCAAGGCTGCACATTCTATGACGGTTTCAAGGATTACTTGGTGTCCGTGCTCTCTTCATGTTAGAGGATTTGACCCTGACCAGTACATCACCAGGGACGGCGTTTCTTGCTCATCAGATGAACACGTGCCTGGCCGGTAAGGCCAAATATGTCTGTAAACTTTCAGTCAGTAAGAACGCGGATAGCGTGCACTCCGCTCATTACCTTCCAAGCTCGTAAATTTCAATGATGGCGTCACCCCTCAGGTTACTTCATTCAAAAGGATGAAGTGCGATAAAAGGAGAAGGCGTATTGGGTAAATACGCCTAGCACAAAAGAATATTGTGCTCTTGACCAGGCGTTGGGTGGCACTTTTTCCAAACAGCGCCCTCATGGGGCCCAACCAAGGTGCAACATGCCTATCGCAAGTCCGCCCACAAATGGTCGCGCAGCAAAATAGATTCATACTCTTATCACTTCGTTGACGAAGCGTCCCTTCTTCGCCTCAAAAACTGGTAGAACGGTTGGCACCGTTCCAAACCTCGCCTGACACGTGCTTCATCGACCACGAACAAGACTGTACAAACAGCCATTCAAACGGTACGATTGTTGGTACGATTCCAAAAAGGAACTTGTTCAAAATCGCTCTTTATCAGCCATATACTCGTCCAGTGTCGAAATCGAGGGTTTTTTCGCGGGTTTTCACCGACTCACTCCGCGTTTTCGTCCTTTGCCCCTACTTAGCACTCCCGCTACCATTATGGACCGAGAACTATCGCGCCTCATGCCTTTAACAGCCGCATTTACAGTGAAACAATAAGCAAGCTTATGTTCGAAACCATCGCTCAAATGCACGGCCTCTGCAGAAGGCAGAGAAAAGGTCGCAGCTGTCACAGAGGTGACTAGAAAGATTCGGCGAGCATTGTTTGATTTTGCTTTATAAGGACGTTATTATTGTTTGTTTTATTTAGCAAATTAATGTCGATATAAAGGTTATCGGATTGAAAAGGAAGCATGAACAGAAACCTGCAAGAACATGTTCAAGGTCGAGATAAAGAAAGGCAATCTTATCAAGCAGAAGCTCCAGCACTGATACGATAAGAT